CCTGGCAAATTTGGGACTGTTTAGACCTATGTTAAAGGATTACTCCAAGCACGATAACCACTACATCATAAGCAGTGCCAGGTGTACTCAGACCCATTTCCCTGGTAAAGGGACAAAACATTTAGTAACGGTTTGCCCTATTTCCTGGGTTCCTGACATCTTCTTGGCCTCCTCTCAGTGTCGGTGACAAGCTTATGCAGAGCTGCAGAAGATGGAAACCGATCCAGTCTCCATTCAGTGACTGAGAGCATCTGCTGATCACTCTCAGCCAATCAATAGCAATTCTATCATGGAAATATGGACAGAATTGACATCAGCCAGTGCAGAACTGTTCATGCAAGCTGAATAATGATGCCCCAATGATTTTGCTAGAGGTATTGCTATTCAGACTATTATAAACACTTCACCCTAAAAAGATAATGATAATAAAATAAATAATTTTAAAGCAGTAGGGACTGCCTTGTCTTGTGTTTTTCCTATGCTTGACAATTTTGATCCACGGTAGAGTTTAAGGCAAGCTCCACTTCCTTTGTTAGCTTGACAAGGGAAGTTGAGCTTGCCTTAAGCCCTATGCTTTGTCAAGATAGTTAAGCGTAAGAAAATACACAAGACAATATAGTTACTACTTTGTTTTGTGTTTCAAAGAGAAAAAAAATCGGAAATGAAGGAAAGAAGAACGGAAAAGGAAAAAAAGAAGTAACAATAGAAGGGTAAGTTAAAGGTGACAGAGCCACTTTAAGAAAAACATAGCAAAAAAACATGTGTGTTTCATTTTATTTTTTCAGGATTGTAAAATTGTTGGATTATAAAAAAAAAAATTGCAGCCATCTTTTGACAGTCTTAGTCAAGGGTACTTTGGGGTTGAACCTTTCTTAAACAGTTTTAACTAAATTAAAATTGTGCCCAGGATTTCTAGCTACCACATCAACTTCATTGAGATGAATTCCTTTAACCCATTAAATACCAATGATTTTTAAAAACTATTTTCCCACTAGCTGATAGTGCTGCCAGCAGGCAAATACTCTATAGTTCAAAAAAATCACTAGCTATATGGCAAGTGAAGATATTTACCAGATGACATAATTTTCCCATTATACTTTGTTTACCGTTGTATTATCTTCTCTACATACCAAATCATGTCTAATGATGATATTGTAGTCCAGCCATAGTGGGTACACACATATGTTCACATCCACTATGTGTATACATATGTAATCAACACATTTACAGGTCTGGTGACCATACTAGCACAAAAGATGCATCCACTAGATATTGAAGTATGTGAAATTGAAAACATAACCTCACATTTCAGGGAATACAAAGATGTGACTTTGGGGAAATAGAAAAAGTTTCCATATCAGCTATTTAATTTTCAAATCACAGTCATGCGAAGAGGTCCTCGAGTAAACATGTAACTTGTATGCCTCCATAAAACAAGCCTTATCACCAAAAGCTTTCCACTGTTTGGTTTTCAGCCTGTGGGTCATAGTCAGATTGACCCTGCTACAATTCTAGTTAGAATTCCTACTGACAGTTGCTACTCTGCATAATACGTGATGAAATGTGAATGAATCCTACCTTACAGAGAGGCTAGAAAGGGACATGTCTAACATCTAATTATATATCTTAGAAGACAAACCCAACAGGTGTCTTTCTAAACATATTACCAAAGGTGAACTTGTGTTTGCCCTCTGTATTCAATCACAGTTATTCATCACACTGTCTCTGCTGCAACTAGAAATTTAGAAGTAATGTGCGTAGGTGTGTGTTATATATTATTATTATTATTTATATAGCGCCAGCTTATTCTGCAGCGCTTTACAAAAAAGGGGGAATCTACCAAATGAGACAATCACAAAATTTAACAGGAACAACAGGTAGTTGAGGACCCTGCTCAAATGAGCTTACAGTCTAGAGGAGGTGGGGTATAAAAACAAAATAGGAAGGGCATTGAGAGAGACAGCAAATAGACATGGTGGGAAAGTAGCAGAACTGGAGGTGAGAGTGGAGTGTGGTACTATAGGAGAGCGCAGAGGAAGGTTTGAGAGATAGAAGTTACTCTTGGAGGTCATAAGCATTCCTGAAAAGATGGGTTTTTGCAGAATCTCCTTCCTTGCAAGATCTTTCAGCTGAAGAGGCACAGTTGGCCCACAAGAGACCCCAGGTAAGCTGTTAAAGGGACACTATAGTCACCCAGACCACTTCAGCTCAATGAAGTGGTCTGGGTGCCAGGTCCCCCAGGTTTTAACCCTTCAGATGTAAACATAGAAGTTTCAGAGAAACTGCTATGTTTACATTGCAGGGCTAATCCAACCTCTAGTGGCTGTCTTCCTGACAGCCGCTAGAGGCGCTTCTGCTACGCTGGATTTGAAATTTGCATCCAGCATGCATAAAGTCCATAGGAAAGCATTGAGAAATACTTTCCTATGGACTGTTTGAATGCGCGCGTTCCACTCCACCCGGGAGTTGACGTCAGCGGGGGAGGAGAGGTCACCAGCGCTGAGCAAACCCAGCGCTGGATTAAGGTAAGTAACTGAATAGGGTTTAACCCCTTCAGTGCCAAGAGAGCGGGCCCTGAGGGTGAGGGGTCCAAAGGATGCTATAGTGTCAGGAAAACAAGTTTGTTTCCCTGAAACTATAGTGATACTTTAAACTGGTTTTAAACCCTACTTATCATCAAAAGTACTAAAGAAGGCTGTAGTGGTTTTGGTGCTTGGAGTGTTTTGTTAATAACCTAGTATAGGTGTCAAAAAGTTTAACAATTTTATGTGACTTTCAGAATAGATTCAGTCTATCTAGATATAAATATCAGCAAATACAAATAATGTGCTTGAGTACATGTTTCCTTCAAATAAATTAAAGAAACACTATAGTCACCAATACAACTTTAGCTTAAGGGAGTAGTTTTGGTGTATAGATCATGCAGATAGATCATGCCCCTGCTCAATTTTCTGCCATTTGGGAGTTAAATCAATTTGTTTACACAACCCTAAATACACCTCACCGCATGTGACTTACGCAGCCTTCTTAAACACTTCCTGTAAAGAGTCATCTAATGTTTACACTTCCTTTATTGTAAATTGTGTTTAATTTAGAATTTAATTTAGCCTAATCTTCTTCTCTGTTAATAACTTTCTAGACCCCGCAGAAGCCTCCTGTATGTAATTAAAGTTCAATTTACAGAGCAGGAGATACAAATCTTTATAGTAAGTTACATCTCATTGAAGATGAATCCATTTTGTTTGCATACAGGCTGTGTCAATCACGGCCAAGGGAGGGGTGGCACGGGCTGCATAAATAGAAACAAAAGTGATTTAAAGGAACACTCCAGGCACCCAGACCACTTCTGCCCATTGGAGTGGTCTGGGTGTCAACTCCCACTACCCTTAACCCTGCAAGTGTAATTATTGCGGATTTTATAAACTACAATAATTACTTTGCATGGTTAATTCCTCCTGATAGACAGCCACTAGAGCATGGGTCCTCAAACTGCGGCCCCCCTAATGTTGCTGAACTACAACTCCCATGATTCTCTGGCTATCTATGTAATTCAAAGAATCATGGGAGTTGTAGTTCAGCAACATCTGGGGGGCCGGAGTTTGAGGACCCATGCACTAGAGGGACTTTTGTGTTCTTAGAACGCTATGTGAGGACCTCCAGCGTCGCCAAATTCCCTATAGGAAAGCATTGAATAATGCTTTCCTATGGGGAGGTCTAATGCGTGTGCGCGGCCATTGCCACGCATGCGCGCGGCCATTGCCACGCATGCGCATTAGGTGGAGCCTGACCCAGCGCCAAGGGACATCGGCGCTGGACTCCGGTAAGTCACTGAAGAGGATTTAACCCCTTCAGCAACTTGGGATGGAGGCTGGGAGAGAGAGGGACACTGCAGGGTCCTGCAGTGGCAGGAAAACTAATATGTTTTCCTGGCACTGGAGAGTCCCTTTAACTCGTAAATGGCATATAATTGAGCAGTGAAACATCAGAGGCATGAGTGACACACACTAAAACTGCTTCATTAAGCTAAAGTTGTTTTGGTGACTATAGTGCATAGATTTTCACAATTTTACAAAATATGCCTTTATCCATAACACTAAATTAGAATGGAACAGCATCAACACAATTTTAGATAATAATTACAATGTTGAGTCTTTGCAGATAGGAATATTCAGGAATATTCACTAAATTCTGAATCTTATTAAATTAATAATTTTTTCTAACCCCATCTTCAAAATTTGTGCAAAAATAGTTTCTCATGAAACAGTCACACAACTTATCTCTAGTCATTACTTGGCTTTTTTCAATTCGGATTTAACATGCTAAAATTCGGAATGTAAATTTCATGCTTGTATAATAATCTGTGAGCATTCTGTATTCTGTACTCATTGAGTTTTTTGTTTTTTTTGTGGATTAAAAAGATTAGTTTTCTAAATAGAGGGGCACTTGTGATGCTAATAAACCAGATTCACTACATGACAGAACGACTTGTTTCATGAACAGCCTTCTCTTTTGGTCTACATGCAGCTGTAAAGATTTCACATTTACACGATTTTTTTTTTTTTAAATCAAAGGAAAAAAAATGTGCATCACAACACAAGTAGGAAAGAGGAAAAAATAATAAGTATTTAGAGGAAATCACTAGCAAACTGGTTTCAATCTAATTGTTCACTTTGCCAAACTGGTATACAGTTCAAAAGGGCCTAGTTCATCTATTTGCAATGCACATTTTATTGCTTGGAAAGACTCAGATGGCATTTCCTAAACGGATACAAACACAAGTGGATTTGAAAATGCCAAGTCTAAAAAATGCAGTACCTTGCTTCAAATGGGTAAAATCTCACACATTATTAGACGGTCAATAGAAGCCAATTAGAAAGCACACTGTGAATAATGGACATAACTCCCAAGAGATCAATCATATGTAAAAATACAAAATTATTAACACAAGAGATTCATTGTAAACCCGAAGCAATTATGGAAAACAAAATCACAAAATGATGTTTTATGAAAATATATATAGCTTTAATTTAAAGACATATAAACACTTTTGGTACAGTACAGACATGATGCTGAAAAAACGCTGTATGATCTGTCTGAAAACTGTTGCTTTCCTTGTGTTGGTATGTACATTTGACTATTTTGAGTGACAGAGAAATAACAAGTGAATGGTTAACATCAAATGTGAACAGATTTATTTGCAGATAGCATTTCCTGGACACATTACTTCTATATCTTGATGTGCGGTACATGAAAAGAGTTGCCTTACAGCATGCAGAATTAATATGCAGCAGGATGGAAATTGGTGAACAAATCAAGGATTTTTTTAAAATTAATTTCTGCAATATATTAACTACACATGCTGCAGGACGGCCCTTCATGCACAGCACATGGAAGTGATATGTGTCTAGGAATAAAAGTGGATCTGGCAACTTTATTTGAAAAAAAAACAAATACGTCAAAATAAAGGGTAAAAAATTAGATCACTTTCCAAGCTAATGATGATCAAAGCTGACACTAACCATTTGTGTGACACAAACCTGAGCAACATTACATTTCACATCCTTTTGGAACTACGGCATGTTTATTTACTAAATTGTGGACTATCAGAAATTCACCAGAGAATTGCAAATTTTGATGTCGGTATAACTGGCCTTAAATGAGGAATTCCTTTTTTTAATTCCTGACATTTCACTGTTTAGTGAATAACTGCATGTGATAAATACAGAGTCGGATGCTTTATCCTCCACAATGCTTATGTAAAAGGCAAGGTCACCAAAACAAAGAGAACTGCAGGTGATAAGTCCCCTGCTGCTGAAAATCTAAAACTGTAGTCACAAATAATGCTTTTTACTTCTATCCAGGCACAGCCACAAAATCCCAACAAGCATTATACCCAGTAATACAAATTTAATGTGCAATAGTCAGGGAATAGGAAAGATCTGATGTTCTATCTTCTGAGGGATACAACACCTATCATGTTAGGCTGAGTCTATTAGGAATTTCACTCCATCAAACCTTGAGTGACATACATACATCACTAATATATAGCTCTATCCCAATTATGACTTTGGGTGTGTACACACAAACACACCCTTCTGTCATAAATGCCACTATTATGAGTGTGTGTATTTTGTTTATAAATATATATTTTTTTTAATAAAAAAAAAAAAAAGAAGGCGATTCATTAGTTACCATCTGCATAGTGAAATGTAAAAATAAAAATGAGCTTTTTAACTCATGATTGTCAAATAAGTGCACGTAACTGCCATAAAAAGAGCCACGTTTGAGCAATTATTAAGAACTATGTTTCCATATACATGAAATGACTGGATTCCCTTTAAGAACGCCTACTAAATAAAAAAAATAATAATAATAATAATATATATATATATATATATATATAATTGTGTACAGTAGATGTGATGATGCAATTGCATTACTGCAGTGTCAATGTGTCCTCATTTAAGAAGAACTTTTAACAACCCTACTGCATATATAAGAAGACATAATGGTTGATAAAATCCACTTGATATAAAGCTGGAATTATATAGTTCCCCAACTAAAGCATTGCTTTACTATAAACATTAACTTAAAACTGAGGTAATATACATTCAGTCTATTAGAAGTACTTTTTGTTGTTCCATCTTCACACTTTTTTAATATAAATATAGAATGGAAAAGTGTATGACAATAAAATAATAAAAATATAATCAGTGTTTTAGAATATTTTTTTTTTTTATACTGCATTTAGGCCCTCTGCTGGATAATACTTCAACACTATCATATCGTAATGCACAAAAATGATTTACCTTAATTTTTCTGTTTGCCTCTTTTGGATGTAAAACATATACTGAATATAAATAGCACATAGAGCTTGACTTTAGCTATTGGTAGTGGAGTTACATATGTATGTTTATATATAAAATATCTTTACAATTTTTGTAAGAATTGTTGCTTTAATTAAAAAAGCTGTAAAGAGATATTTACATATATATATATATTACTATAAGGTATAAATTATTGGTCCTTCATCATAACCAAGATCAACACATTGTGTTATTTACTTTTTTTATCCTCCAAAATGTCAGATTGTTTCAGGGAAAAAATAATTAAATATTCGAAATTTCAATTGGCTTCTTTTCAAGCAGATGGAAGTCAATTTTCCCATTTAATGGGATTTGTACTTCCAAGTTCTCATTTGTTCTGTGTTCCTTTTTCCCTTTCCTTATGCAAATATACATTCCCATTAAAGTCACTAGAACAACCGAGCCTAAGCACAGTATTGATAGAGTAACCAGTGTCGGCACACATGAATCAGTCTCCATTTTTTTCTGAGTAGGCTCAATTGCAATTTGTGGCTCTTTTTCTTCAATGTTAATATCAGGATCTTTTCTCAGCAAACTTTCAATGTAACTCTCATTACTTACAGTATCGTTTACAAACAGATTCACCATGACAGTAGTAAACAAGGGTTCTGGGTAACCATGGTCACTCACTTTTACTAATAACCTGTACAAACCACAGTCAGTTCTCATCAGAGCCTCTTCCAAAGTAATGTTTCCAGTTTTGGGGTCTATCCTAAAGGATTCTGGTCGAGGCCCCCTCCTTCCTATTATGCTGTAGGCAATAACAGCATTCATCCCGGTGTCTTTATCAACAGCATATACCTCAGTTACAGGAGAACCAGGTAGAGTTGACGGAAGGACAAGGAGATAAGATGTGTTGGATTGAGGAAACAAGACTAAAGGTGGATTATCATTTACATCCAAAAGCAGGATAGTTATTTTTGCTGAAGATGATAAGGTTGGATCTCCACCATCAGATGCTTCAACCCAAATCGTGTAAGAGCTCTGTTGTTCTCTGTCTAGTGAAACTTTAGCTCTTAGGAGTCCTTTGCCAGTATCAATGACAAAAATATCACTTCCATTTATTATGGAAAGGGCAATCCATCCATTTTGTCCTGCATCAGCATCTGTGACACTAATGACCCCAATTTCCCCCAAACCTGGAAAATTTTCTGGTACAAAAAAACTGAAATCTTTGCTGATGAACCGAGGACTGTTGTCATTTTTGTCCAGTACAGTAATATACACAGTGGCGACAGTTTCTTTTGCGGGAAAGCCGGAATCTCTTGCTTTAACAGTGAACCTATATTTCTCTTTTTCTTCCCTATCCAACATCGTGGAAACAGTGAGAATTCCAGTCACTCTGTCTAAAGAAAAATAAGATGGGGCATCAGAGCCCAAAAAGTAGGAAACCTGCCCCCTGTCTCCACTATCGGCATCTGTAGCATACAATTTGGCCAGAAATGCATTTGGTGAATTATTTTCTTCAATAGTCACTTCTACAGTCGATTGAGTAAAGACAGGGGAATTATCATTCTCATCTAAAATCTGCACTTTTAGAAACTTTTTAACATGGAGCCCATCCACACTCACAGCAACCACTGCTATGTTATACAGCTGTCTTATCTCATAGTCTAATGTATTTGTAGTTTCAAGAAGATATTCATTTGTATAAGGCTTGTATGCAGACAAACGAAATGGCCCATCTCCTTCTAAATAACAGTCCACCTTGTATTTTTCTTCCGGGTCTTTTATTGTAAAAAATGCTATAGGAGAATGAATAGGCTCTAATTCTTTAAGGTAAACTACCCCATTGTCTTCATTAGCTATATAACGAGGTACGACATCAGGAGGTCGAAATGTGACCTTAGCTATGGAAATGAACACGGTCATTACCGTCGGGATACAGCCCTGGCCATTGGCAAGTACCGTGAGTTTATGGAGCGGGGAGGTGCTGCCATCTATCTTTTTAGAAAGTTTTATCACTCCTGTGTCTTCATCAAGATGAAACTGGTCCTTTGAGATCTGTGGAACTCTTTCACTGAAGGAGTAGGTAATCTCAGCATTGGCTCCTAAATCCCTATCCTCTGCGTGCACTGTTGTTACTGTTGCCCCAGTGCTTGAGTTCCCTGGAAGAGTTACATTAATCTGAGACTCTTTGAACTGGGGGCAGTTGTCATTTACATCACTAATGAGAATTGAGAGCGTGGCAGAGCCCGAAAGTGGTGGATTGCCCCCATCTTCAGCGATAATTATCGTTTTATATTCAGCTTTTGTTTCTCTGTCCAGAAGGCCCATGATAATGAGATAAGGTGTCCTTTCCCCACTCTCATTTTCTTCCACGTCTAATGTAAAAACACCATAATAATCCACTAACTTGTAAGTTTGGACCGAATTTAAACCCCCATCAGGGTCATAAGCAGGATGTTCTATTACTAACCTTGTGTTAACAGGAGCATTTTCTGGTACAGAGATAAAAATCTGTGAAACAGGAAATTGTGGAGAATTGTCATTAACATCAATGATGGCAATTTTTACTTTGATGAGCCTGAAATATTCCTGAGGTAAGATTATGATATCAAGCAGAAGTACACAATCCTGAAGACCAAGGCTTTGCGGACAGAGGTTTTCCCTGTCCAGCTCCTCTGCAGATGTAGATAACACTCCTGTTCTGTTGTTGAGAGTCACATACTTCCCACTGAGCCCTTTAGATGCCAAGCTGAATGAAAGAGGAGGATCAGTAAGGAATCCCAGCTGCAAATCCTGCACAATGTTCCCAATCAGTACTCCCCTGGGCAATCCTTCATGCAGACTGTACAGCAATTCTGATGCTCTGCTAGAACTGGCTTCGCTGAGCGAGGATCCAGGGAAATTAGTGAGCAGAAAGAGAAACAACAAGTGCTGGGCAAGAAAATAAAGAATAATTACATATCTATTAATACAGAAATTCCACAAGTACATACCCCCACACTGCACACAGTCACATGTTTTTAAATCCTTAACATACTTGAAAGTGCTTTACTGTAGGTAAAGTTATCTACAAATAATTAGTTATATAAATCAGGGTTACATGATAAAGGGGTGCTAATGTCCAATTTCTAAATAACTCACAGACATTAGATAAACTTTAGATGATTTCTGCACTTTGCATTTTTTAATAGCTCATTCATGGTTTTGGCATTGCCAAAAAAAAAGCAGGTTTCTAAATGTATAACCCTTTGCCTGTCTCATCAGTGTCCCCTCTTCACCCTCCCTTTAGCAACAATGATTAAAAAGGTTTTAAACAAAACTAGCATTCTTTTCTGACGCTTCCATGGACATTCGAAGCATGCAGCTAAAACACGTATTTTTCTTGATTATAGCCTTTCTAGTGTAGTAAAATACATGCAATAAGCCATTTATTTATTTCATTATTTTGCCAATGTCACAGACACAGCTCCCATCATTTACACATGCAGACTGGCAAACTAAACAGTTTAAATACTCTTGTCCTCTAAAATAACAATCTAGATACATTTTAGCCTATAATCAGACTTGCAGGTTATATAACAAAAGTCTTGCTATTTCACCTACCTGTGCATTTGTTAGACAGGTTTGCTGCCCCATATCCAGGATGGGAAGGCTTGCTGTTTCAGAGGAAGCCAGCTCTCTCCTCCCGTGTGCTGTAGGATCCTGTCATTCCCCTGATAGTTAAATCCCTATGAAGCTGCAGGCATGGTACTGGTGGTTAGTAGTGATACAGAAACACTCCCTCTCCCTGCTCATGCAAATCTCTGGCCAGCCTCAGCCAATAGCCTCTGATTCATCAATTAACAAAGTGTTGAGATGGGACGGACCTGTGCTGTGTGCTGGTATGGAGACAGTGTAGTATCCAAATTTCTCCTTTATACCTAAGGTGCAGGAAGACTCAGAGCAAGTCTCTGCAACTTTTTCCCCCCTCTTTCTTTCTAACGAACATGATAAATATGATTGGCGGTGACACATATAATTGCTGTCTGTTTTATGTATAGAGAGCAAACCAGAGTTATGCTTTGTGTATTAGTAAGAAGAAGGTTTTAACCCATTGTGTGCTTTAGATGTGGGCAAAGCTTTGCTGTAAGACATTTCACGATTATCTCTCCTGCCGGGGTTTGTAACAAATTGTTTATATTTTCCTAGTTTGTAAACTGATTAAATTATATTTAAAGATTTAAATACTTTTTATTTATTTTCTTAACCCTTTTGGTAAATTCCTTTGTATTATGATGTGTGACGTGTTACTGGTCATTGAAAGGAAAATGAATGATATTTATTTTTATTTACCTGCTGTATCTATCACCACAGTCTGCACAGAGCACTGGTTCTACCCAGTTAAATATGTCGTTACTTTTTGTTGCTCCCACAACTAAGCTCTTTCTCTAAGAAAGGCCCATAGTTCCATTGTTACCAAGTCTTTCTGGTACTAAGCAGGTTAATGTCTCTTTCACCTGCGAGTATGTGCCAGAACAAGCTGAGCAATTTCTCCTTTGGTCACACAGCTCAGCTCTCTCTCCCTGCTTCCCACACACTTTGGCTTTGTTGTGTGCTTAATCCAATCTTTAATTCCTACACTTTGAGTTTGGGTTTTTAGTGAAGCATAACTTTTCCCTGCCTGTATGCTGCTGGCTTGGTTATCAGTTTTTATTCAGCAGTAAAAAAGTACTTATCTCGTTCACTGCCATTTGCCTGTTTATTTTTTGTCCATTATGACTAGTTCTGGTTTGTTTCCTTTTCTTGCTATTTGGAGAAAGGTTAAAGAAAAGTGAAACTACACCATGTATAGTTCTAAAGATCCCATAAAACCCACATAAATCAGACCTCCCTAACAGGACTGGTAGGACAGGGGTCTAAAATGCAGTTTACCTGATTCCACCAGCCGCCATGTCTTCTCGTATGGGGGCGCTGATTTCTGCTCCCCAATTCCTCCACTCACATATCCACATGAACAGGCAAACAGGTACATACTCACACACATACCAGTACACAAACACAGATGTACAAAGACACACAAAAGCAAACACAACAATACAGAAACATGGGCTCACAGGCACACATAGCTAGGGATTATTCTAGCCCTAGTGACTGAATAATCTAAATTTTATTAACGACAGGAGGCAAATATTTGCTTATCTTTCTTTACTGAACCTCCCAGCAGCAAAGAAATAGTTAACAATAGTGTAAAAACAATTCAACCAGAGTGTATAACAGTATTATATGATGTCATCAAACTATGAACCGTGACCAATCCAAGGTCCTGATGTAGTCAACCATGTAAACTTTCAACAGGATTGATGAATCCATATATCACAAGAGTTGGGATTCTGCACACTAAAGGGAAGTAGAGAAAAAAACCATGAGAGTATAGGTTCTCATACTAGTTGAATGCAAGCTTATGGCATGCATACTAGGGACAGCAATTTCAAAAGATTTCATGTAAAATGATGTTGAGTATGTCAAACTCTTGGTTAGAGTGTTGTGGTGTAAACCTATGACAGATGATGTGTGAATGTGTTTGAAACAGATCGACTAGAAAAAAAATGTAGTAACTTACCTTAGGGCGGGTATAAATGATAATGAAAAACAAAGAAGGGAGGAAAATATTCGCCTCCTGTCGTTAATAAAATTTAGATTATTCAGTCACTAGGGCTAGAATAATCCCTAATTTTATGGCAAGACAGGAGGCTTCATATTTGCTGTTTTAACGCTCTTATATGATAGAAGATGCAGCATGTGGCATAGGTTTGAAATAGAATGTACGAAAGGTGGACTCCCTGGTCCAATCTGCAGACGACAAAATGTCTGAGAGGGAACTACCCGCACGAAAGGCTGAGGATGCGGCTGCTCCTCTGACTGAATGCGTTCCAAAAGAGGAGTCAATACCTGCTTGGGCTAGTATCCATCTGATCCACCGTGCGACAGTGGGAGCGGAACACCGGTTTGTGTGGTCTGACATAGGAAACGAGAAGGGGTCCTGTAGGGGAACGCAGAGTGGTTGTGGCATCTATATAGTGCCTTACACAGAGCGCCACGCAAAGCGACTGTCTATTCGGAAAGTAAGGGTAGAATACAGAGGAGGAATTAGTCTTCGTTCGCCTGGTGATGTGAAATTTAACGCCCTCAGGCGAAAAAACGACAGCGTGGAAATCAAATGCTCGAATGTCGGAGACCCTACGGAAGGATACCAGACATAGGAGTTGTAAGGAAATCAAGTATAGCTGAACCGCTTTGATAATTCCTCCTGCAATGCCAGCGTCTAAGGTAGTTCCAAGCAATGAAGTCCATAAGAAATATAACAGCTTCTCAAGATAATCCCCTTGGTAAAGCATACGAATTCCCAAATAACAGTCAGAGTCCAGAATCAGGATACAAGTAGATCTGAGGTCTGGAATCTCCAGCCTGCTTTTTATTAGGGTTACAGACACAAAATACACACCCAGGGGGAGGCATTAAATCACCAATCAGGTACAGGTTACAGCCCCTACCTCCCTCCCCTCTGATAAACAGTTAACTTCATTAAAACGTGCACTATTTTACCCCAGTTCTGGATGTACCCCAAAAACAGGGGGTACACCTTTAAATTGGGCACCGCTGGATAGTGCTCACTGGTGGGGACAATATGTCAAAAAATCAGTCCATTCGGATGAATGGTTCGGGAGTTATGGAGCACTAAAGTTTTGACCGACCGCACGGATCATCTAGCCGAAAATAGTTCCATAAGTTTTGGCCCTGCGGTCGGTCTCCGTTTAGGCGAATAAAAAAGACGAAAGTCCTGCCATCCGTTCGCATCTTCGTGGTCGTTGAAATCCCCATACGAAGTTGCATGTAACTACCGAACGGCCGGTCATTCGGTTTTTTCCGTGCGAAGTTCTGGATGTATGGAGGTCTCAGCGGTGTTCGCCTGTTTGTGTATCCGATTTTAGTTCCACGCGTTTGACGGGCAAACACCGCTGTTCGCACGTAAAATGGCCGCGACCACGTGTAAAGTGCCGAAATGGCGGCCACCTAGAGTTTACACGGGGAATTCGCCTGAATCCATTCGAATGGTAGAAATTATAGCTATATGCCGAATTCCAGCTGAATTGGGTGAATTAACTTGTGCAACAAAGGTAGAAATCCTGATGAACGGAGTCATTTCTTCACACTGCTCCCCTATAAGTCCATAGGTCGGCATACCCGCCTAGACCCTGTCGGGTTGGCTTGGGGATGTCCGATGAAAGTACGTTTTTAGGTGTCCAGTTCGGTCTGGCGGGACAGTCCATCCGCATTCCCATTTTGTTTACCCGGACGGTACTGCATGGTAAAATTGTATGGTTGGAGAGCTAGGCTCCACCGGAGTAGCCTGGGGTTGTCACCAGCTACCCGGTTGAGCCATACCAGGGGGTTGTGGTCGGTCATAAGGGTAAACGCTCGCCCATACAGATAGGGCTGAAGTTTCTTGAGGGCCCACACGAGGGCCAAGCACTCTTTTTCTACGGTGGCATAGCTGACTTCTCGGGGCAAAAGTTTACGGCTGAGGTATGCCACCGGGTGTTCCATGCCATCCGCCCCAACCTGGCTTAGTACGGCTCCCAGCCCAAACATGGAGGCATCTGTGTGTACAAGAAATTGTTTAGTGTAATCGGGCGCTGCCAACACAGGGGCCTCACTCAATGCCGCTTTGAGCTTCTGGAAAGCGTCCGTGCACTCTGGGGTCCAGGCGACCTGTTTGGGAAGGGCCTTTTTGGTAAGGTCCGTGAGGGGCTTGGCCAGGGCGCTATATTCTGGGACGAACTTCCTGTAATACCCGGCCGTCCCTAAGAAAGCCAGTACCTGGGTTTTGGTCCGGGGTTGGGGCCAGTTAGCTATGGCCTCTACCTTAGCGGGCTCTGGGCGTTGTCTACCGGAGCCGACCCGGTGACCTAGATACTGGACCTCGGCTAGGCCTACGTGACATTTGTCGGGTTTTAAAGTGAGCCCGGCGAGGTGGATTCGTTCGAGTACCCTGGACACATGACCCAGATGGTCTCCCCATGTGCGGCTATAGATGGCAATATCATCTAGATACGCACATGCGAAGTCCTGCAATCCCTCCAGGAGCCTATCCGCCATCCGCTGAAACGTAGCCGGGGCGTTCTTCATCCCAAAGGGCATAACCTTGAATTGGTATAGCCCAAACGGGGTGACGAACGCCGACTTGGGGATGGCCGCAGGCTCCAGGGGGATCTGCCAATAACCCTTGCACAGGTCCAGGGTAGTCAAGTAGTTCCCCCCCGCCATACGATCTAAGAGCTCATCTATTCTAGGCATGGGGTAGGCATCGGTTATGGTACGGTCGTTAAGCCTCCGGTAATCTACACAGAAGCGCGTAGTGCCGTCGCGCTTCGGTACTAGTACCACCGGGGAGGCCCAAGGACTTTGGGAGGGTTCTATTACCCCTAGCCTTAACATATCCCTTAACTCGGTGAGCATACTCTCACGTACTGCTTCCGGGATCCGATATGGCTGTTGCCGTAGGGGCGTCTCTCCCTGGGTTTCCACACGGTGGACCGCAGCGGAGGTATAGCCGGGGGTAGCGGAAAACATCTCTCGGTATCCCTGCAGCAGTTGAGTAGCCTCGCCTTTCTCCAGGTGGTCTAAATTTTGCCCCAAGCTTACTTGGTCAATAGTACAGGGGGTGGTATCCAGTAAGTCAGGGAGGGGTAGCCCTTCACTATCCTCTGTGGC